CTCCTCTGATGCTGCCTGGCCTGCTGTGTTCATCCAGCTCTACACCTTGTTAACTCAAACGGTTGCCTTGTTATTAGGAAGATACTCATATGGCTTACCTACATTTTCTGTCAACTAGTGGTGCAAATGAATGGCAGAAGATTATCACAATTTTTCATTCACTATGGTTTTCATAAACTTTCATACAGTTGTCCATGGGGAATCAGGTCTTTGGTTGAAATATATGCAAGTAGGATTCCTGCCTAATAGCTACTATGTGTTCTTTTTTCCAATTGATGAACAAGTAGTTGAAATTGATTTTACATTGCACATATTAAATTTATATTGCACATTTAAAAAAAAAGTTGTGTTTATCCAATGCTGGGAAATGAGAACATCCAAAAATCTCATGGTCAGATACAATGCAGGACACTAAACAAAATGTGCCAAGGTTCTACTCATAAAGTATTCTGATTATACTAACATGACTTTCATTTCTAACATTTTTGTTTATCCTTTGACTGAGTCGCATGAGTCTGGTATTGACTTTGAAGAAAGAACTCACATAATCCATTAATCATAGAATCCCTACAGTGTGAAATTAGGCCCTTTGGCCCAACAAGTCCACACTGACCCTCAGAACACCACACCCAGATCCATGCCCCATTTAACCCACCTAATCTACTCATCTCTGAACACTATGGACAATTTAGCATGGCCAATCTATCTAGCCTACACATCTTTGGATTGTGGGAGGAAACCAGAGCACCTGGAGGAAACCCACGCAGAAACGGGGAGAACGTGCAAACTCGACACGGACAGTTGCCTGAGGGAGGAATCAAACCCGGGTTCCTGGCGCTGTGAAGCAGCAGTGCTAACCACTGAGCCACCATGCCGCTCCAAATGTTAGACTTCTCAAATTCATTTTATTTCAAACAATTAAAATCCATCCAAGAGTTTTCTCATGTTTTTATTGCAAGTTTTTATACAATAAAGTAGAAGGACAACAGTCTTCCAGTTTGCTGTTTGAGTGGATATTTAATTTTGTTTTATAGTGCTTTGGACATCCTGCAAGAAATAAACCTATCCTCCAGTCACAAGAATAATTTTAGTGATGCAGCTGCGAAAAGACTGCTTGACCATAATGCAGCTCTCAAATATTGTCTGACTGGCTACTTGTCATTCAATGATGTCATCACAGATGGTTTCTATGATCCTGGTCAGGTAAATTTTAATTATCTATCTCATTTTACATAGGATATACGACATAGAAACAGGCCAAACAGCCCAACTAGTCCATACTGACTAATATGCAACTAATTAAAGCAAAATAGGTGTCCTGACCCTGTTCTGTTTTAATGTCATGTAAATTGATTGATAAACCCAGAGAAAGATAACAAAATTTAAATTGGCAACAGCAACTACAATTGCATGTCAGAATCTGAGTTTTCCTTTATCAAATTGGAGAAAAACCTTTCCCATGATTTTCTTTGGCTGCAGAGCAGTTATTAGTACCGTTTAAATGTTAATTATTATAAAATTGTTTCTGTCAATTGGATCATGTTGATCTCCTCATCTTGATGAATGTGACAGTTGATTCCCTTAACCTTAAATTAATGTGAATGCATTAGTGCTGCATGCTTGGCAGAGTCATGTTGCCAATTATTACATTTTTGCAAAAATGCAGTAAACAGATAACTGAAAGGGAGCACCTGACTATTTTTATTTATTCTTTCATGGACTGTGGGCATTGCTGGCAAGTCTATTGCTTATTGACCATCACTAATTGCCCTTGAGCAGGTGCTGGTTAGTTTCCTTCATGAACCTCTCTAATCTGTTTGTGAAAATACAGTACTGTTAGAAAAGCAATTGCAGGATATTGACACAGTAGCCTCTTCAACATCCGCCTGCTCTAGGGGTCCACAGCATCCAAATGCCAGTTTTCAACCAATTCGACTCACTCCTTGCAATATCCAGAAAAGACTGGAAGCACTGATATTATAAAGGCTATGGGCCCTGAAAACATTCCGGCAATGGAGTTGTACTCCAGACGTTGCGGCAATCCTAACCCTGCTGTTCCAGTAACAGTGACAATTCTGGTAGGTAGTGGACGTTGTGGAAAGTTGCACAGGCATGTCCTGAATGCAAAAAGCAGAATAAGTCCAACCTGGCCAACAACCACTCCATCAATCTACTCTCGATCATCAATAAAGTGATGGAAGGTGTCCTCAACAGTGCTATAAGCAGCATCTGCTCAGCAATAACTTGCTCACTGATGCCCAATTTGGGTTCCGCCAGGCCCTTCAGTTCCTGACCTTATTACAGCATTGGTTCAAACATGGACAAAAGAGCTGAATTCCAGAGGTGAGGTGAGAGTGACAGCCCTTGACATCAAGGTTGCATTTGATCGAGTGTGGCATCAAGGAGCCCTAGCAAAACTGGAATCAGGAGAAGCTCTCCTATGATTGGAGTCATTCCTGGCATGTCGGAAAGTGGTTGTGGTTATTGGAGGTCAGTCATCTCAGCAGGAGTTCCTCAGGTAGTGTCTTAGATCCAACTATCTTCAGCTGCTTCATCAATGACCTTCTGTCCATCATAGGTTCAGAAGTTGGGATTTTCACTGATGATTGTGCAATATCTCACACCATTCCCAACTCCTCAGATACTGAAGGAGCCCATGTCCAAATACAGTAAGACCTGAACAATTTCTGTTCTTGGGCTAAAAAGGGGCAAGTGGCAAGTTGCAATCACACCACACAAATGCAAGGAAATGACCATCACTAATAAGAGACAATGTACTAGCCTTGATATTCAATAACGTTACCATCACTGAATCCCCATTATCAACTTCCGGGGGCCATCATGGACCAGAAATTGAACTAGACCCGCCATATAAGTACAGTGGCTACCATAGCAGATCGGCGGCTCAGAATACTGCAGTGAGTATCTCATCTCCTGACTCCCCAAAGCCTGTCCACTATCTACAAGGCATGAGTCAGGAGCGTGATGGAATACTTCCCACTTGCCTGGAAGAATACAGCTCTGGCAACAATCAAGAAGATTAACACCATCAAGGACAAAGCATCCCGCTTGCTTGGTACTACATCCACAAACATTCAGTCACTCCACCAGCGACACTCATTAGCAGTAGTGTATACCATCTACAAGATGCACTGCAGAAATTCATTAAGAATCCTTAGGCAGTACCTTCCAAACCCTCAACCACTTCCATTTAGAAGAACAAGGGCGCAGATACATTGGAACACCACCTCCTGCAAATTCCCCTCCAAGCCTCTCACCATCCTGACTTGGAAATATGTCATCATTCTTTCACTGTTGGTGAGTCAAAATCCTGGAAATCCCACCTACATTACAATAGATCCATTGTGGATCTATCTACAGTAAATGAACTGCAACAGTTCAAGAAAGCAGCTCACTGCCACCTTCTCAGGAGGAATAACAATGTATTTTGAAATTATTACATTGTGTGACTTGAAGGTGAATTTGGCGGTTATCTATGCATCAGTTACACTTATTCTTCTAGGTAATAGTGAAGGTTTGGGATGTGCTATTGAAGAAATCTTAATAAATAGCTGTAGTACATTTTTAGTTGAAACACACTGCAACCAATTTCCCCCAATGATGTAAAAAGTGAAAGTTGGGGGCCCTCTTGTGGTACAGTTACAGTGTCTCTACCCCTGAACTGGGAGGCCTGGGTTCAAGTCCCACCTGCTTCAGAGATGTCTAATACAATTGCTGAACAGGTTGATTAGAAAAAATAGATTAAATAAAAGAGTGAAAGTTTAGGTAATGTGTAAGATACCAATCAGGTGGGCTCTTTTATTCCATGTGATGATGTACTTGTTGAGTTGAACATATCCATTTCAGAGAAGAGCATTCCTTCTTACTTTTGATTTGTTCGTTATAGATGGTAAAATGACAATGAGGAGTCATGTGCTAAATCATAGCCAGAAACTACGTATTCTGCGGTTTCCTCTTGCAGCCACGTTATTATGTAGCTAGTCCAATTAATTTTTGAGTCAATGATGACACCAAGAGTATTTGAAAATGGCAACATAATTGAATTGCAAGAGAAGGTGGTGAGGCTTTCTCTTATTGGAAGTAGTCATTGTCTCGAATGTGTCCTGCCACATCCCTGCCTTCAGCAAATACCTTTCAGAGTGATTTCCTAGATATCCATGCCACACACTCTAACACCACAAGTTATTCAGTATGATGGTCACTGAGGTAGTGCCTTCCCATGTGACCAGAGTTACAGCATTGCTCTGCCTGTTGCTCTTACAATTACAATGGCTTATACCATATTTATGCGCTGGGGCATTTTAGTACTGGGAAGTCATGCTGTTGAACAGTTATTTGATGCAGAAAGGGATCAATTCATTACCAAACCTTTGCACAATCAATGTATACACTTAAGAGGAATGATAGGTTGTTTCATTGAAACTTTTAAATTCATCAGAGGCTTGACAGGGTTGGGGGGAGATCTTGGGAGATGTTTACCTTGCTGGAGATTCTAGAACTAGGGATCATAATCTCAGAATAAAGGAAAGGCCATTTAAGAAATCAAAAAGTGTGTTCACCTTTATTGTAAAAGTATTAGAATACAAAAGTTAAGTCTTCATGCAGTTGAATGAGACTTGGATGAGGTTACACTTGGACTGCATGCAGTTATGTGCATATGATCATGACACATATGAGCTGAAGTTGGCCATTTAATCCTTAGCATCTGCTGCACCACTCAACAAGATCATTGCTGATTTAACTCAACTTAGTTCTATCTTTCCACATTATAGGCAGAATTTTCCTCTCCTTAGTGTGGTTTGTTCTATGATTGGAAAGTTAGAAAATACAGAAGGAATGAAAAAGAATCAGAAATTCGACATTGACAGTCTTTCAATTTTCCCCTTAGGCTTTAACTAAGATCGTAAGACCAAACAGCAACCAGAATCTCCTAGATATGCATCTCATTAATGCCCCACTTACATAACACGCCTCATTTATACGACAATTCCAATTCACTTTTCCTTCCTGAGAAACTAGATGGTGGAAACTGTCAACATATACGTCATATAATTGCTCGTGCCAGCCATCATCCATTTGTTGAGCACAATGACCCCACATGCTCCACAAACACCATCTTCCACAACTCCTCATCCATGCAATCAGAATTATCAAACCACCAGGCTCATCAAATCATCATGCTTGCCTTCGGATAAATTCACACAACTTCAGGCTTTCTGCATTCTGGAGCTCAGAGACACCTACAACTTGCATAGTTCTTCCACATTCATGTTGTGTACAGGGACACACATGGATCTACATAGGATGCAGCTTATGGATTTTTGTAGCGTTTAGTCACATGATGCATGCTTGGAGGCTGTTTGTCTTTTGTATACTTCATTGCTTTCTTAGCACGCACTTTTTGACTTCTTCATTGACTTACAGACTACTAGCCCCTGTGGTTTGCATTTGCATGTTTTTTAGCTCAGCGGGGGTGGCAGGCAGCTTATTGTGGTGGGGAAAACTGAACAGTCGAGCAAGTGGACTTGTCACTGGATGGAATTGTGCCAACTCAAAATCACACCTAAAGCATGTGCTAGCAGTTTATGCACCAAACACACCACTTAATTTGCTTTTAGCAAATGATCATGCGTGAAAGTCTTAGGGTTGCTGTTTTGGTATCAATTTGGATTAAGGTAAGTCAGGGATAATGTCACAGTCAGTCAAGAGCCAATTTTGATTCCAATCTAGGTGTTTGCCATGGTCTGTCAGGTGCTTGATCCTATCTAAACCAGAATTCTGTGTTCCTTGTAGACCATGGACTGGACCACAGCCAGTCCTACAGGCCAAGTGCAAGCAGTCTAGGGTGTTACAGGTGGGTCATTTGGGGAGCTGTGGAGACATCTGTACAGGGACTTGGCCATGGTCTGTCAGGATGTCCTGCCAAGTCAGTCCTGTGCATGAGCCATGGTCAGTCCTGGGGGTTTGCTTAATAACAGTCTTATCGAGGGGACAGCCCTATGGAATCTTGGGGAAAAATGGGCAACTCAAGTCTGGAGATGGGCTTTGTTATACTGGCTTGTTGAGGAAATAGGGACAGTGATAGAGAGCAACTGGCAATAGTAGAGTAAAACCTCATAGGGAAGGGGGTAGATCTGGAGATCTGATTTTGGAAGGGCTGTTCATTTAGCTCATGCTAACTCTGGCCTCTATAGAGGGAGGATGAAGGACTAATAATGGCACATGAATTTTCAAAGTCATTGACACGGGTTGAATTAGGGACATTGATAGTTATATAATGGGCCTCAAAGGAAATTTGGGGAGGCTGAAAGTTTATAGGAGCCACAGGACAACAACACCAAAGAAAAAATGAAGGATAGGGGGAATTTCTTACAACACAAGCACAGCCTGCATCTTACTCACAGTAAAAATGAGTTGGAACCTTGCCATGTCAGCTGAAATGAAAACTGCCCAATAACTGAACAAAATGGCTGGCACCACGTGCAAAGTGGGTGGAGTAAATTAGTGTTCTATTTTCTTCAGGATAGAATAATTCTTTTGGAATTTGATTCCTCAAATTGATCATGACCATTACTTTGTGTGCACTAATTATCTCCCTATCATGTCAGCTAAGCAAATAGAATTAGATAATGGCACTTAAACAAATCACCCGAGCTTTCCATTTCCGAAACATATTCCACAGTTATCACTCAAAGACAGTGATTTACAGCTGCCTCATTCACACACTGAACTGTATGTATAATTAATTGCTTGGTAGTACAGCATTTAACCAATATTGAAAGGAAAGTTGAAGCTTTTCTCTTGGCACTCATCACGACTAGGGTGCAAGATATAGACACAATTTCCATGCCCTTCCAAACGTGTGCTTCCTTGCTAAGGATGGCCCAACCAATTAGCACTATCTTCTCATGCTGCACAAATAGGAGTCCCTTTATCAAGCCTCCTTCTTGTGCCTTAGCCCTGATGAGTGTTTGGCAAACCTTTAACTTCCTGTCTCTTTTTATTAACTGTAGGTGGAATCATATAGGGATCTGAGGAACATGGACTGTGGCAAGAGTGTGGCAGAATTAGATGAGAAATCTGATAAGGTCCATCCTGATTTGAGATTATCTCGCTCCAATTTGTGTGCTTTTTGCAAGTACGGTGGTGAGATTCTCACTAGGTAGTGACAATGTGCCAGTTGATGGGGAATCAACATTTGTTAAACATCTTATTAATGCCACAGCTCACCTCATTACTATTCTGATTGCACCTTACCAAATTCACCAAAGAAGCTAGACATTGGAAATACTCAACAAGGAAACCAGAGAATGTATCTGATGAATGCAGCTTCCTGCTTACTCCAAACAATCTCCATGCTGGACCGTGAACAACATCTCGGGGCCTGTTATGGGCTGAATTCTCCTTTGATGGGGAAATAGGGGCCAATGAGATGGTGGTGAGATGTACAGAAAGACTGTTGAGTGCACTGTCATGGCCATCCTTGTGTTCGCTCTCGCTCGCGCTCTCTCTCTCTCACACACACTATGTCTTAATGTGGTCCCTGGTTCCACAGCTGGGACGGAGGGAGCCTGCTCGGAAGTAGGGCCAGATATTACTGGAGATTTGGTGGGGCAACTCCAGGTACTTGTGTCTGGATGAGCCAGACACTGTGTATGTGTTATCTTGTCAGAGGCAATTTGACTCTTCTTGGCTTAAACTTCCAAGAGCCGGAAGGGAGCAGGCAGGATGGAGGTGGAAGGCCCAGCCCCTATGTACTGTCCTGAGTGGAAAGTCCAGAGGAGTCTGTGTGTGTGGTTCCACCTCCAGCTGGATACCTTCTAACACCTCTCTGTCTCCTTATGAGGATAGGCATCTGGACAGGGGTCGAGGTCCTGAACTTTCTTAAACAAAATGGGTAAAGAGCAGTGGGACTGACTCCTGAGACCTGCTCACTGTTTCACAGATGGAGAAGATGTTTTGTAACCACTCATTACAACAGTATTAGACAGGAACTGGAGAAATTAGATTTATTACAGGGTAAATCCACATCTGATCTGTGGGAGTCTTTTAAAAATCAGTTGATCAGAGTTCCGGATCAGCATGTCCTTATGAGGATGAAAGATAAGGATGGCTATATTAGGGAACACCTGGATGTCAAGAGATATTGAAAGTTTACTGAAAAAGGAAAAGGAAGCATACATAATGTTTAGCAAACTGTAATCAGACAAGGCCCTTGAGGAATATAAAGAAAGTAGGAAAGAACTTAAACAAGGAATTAGGAGGGCTAAAAGGGGTCATGAAGTGTCCTTGGCAAGTAAGATTAAGGAGAATCCCAAGGCATTTTAGATGTATATTAGGAGCAAGTGGGTAACTATGGAAAGGGTAGGTCCACTCAAGGACAAAGGGGAGAATGTATGCCAGAGGCGGTGGGTGAGGTCCTTAATGAGTACTTTGCATCAGTATTTACCAAGGACGAAGCCATGGATGATTGTAAGATTAAGGAGGGGTATATTCATTTTCTAGGGCATGTCAATATTAAGAAGGATGAGCTGTTGATTTAGGCTTAGATATTAAGGTAGAGAAGTCCCCAGGGCATAATGGGATCTATCCCAGGATACCGAGGGAGGCAAGGAAGTAAATTGCTGGAGAATTGACTGAGATCTTTGCATCCTCTTTAGCCAAGGCGAATTCCCAGAAGACAAGAATAGCCAATGTTGTTCCTTTGTTTAAGAACAGCAACAATAATAATCCAGGAAGTTATAAGCCAGTAAGCTTTATATCAGTGGTAGGGAAATTATTGGAGATGATACCTATGGACATGATTTACTTGCATTTGGAAAAGAATGGACTTACTAGAGATAGTCAGCATGATTTTGTGTGGGGTAGGTCTTGTCTCACAGGCTTAATTGAGTTTTGTAAGGAAATGGTGAAAATGATCGATGATAGGGCAGTGGATATTATCTACATGGACTTTAGTAAAGCATTTGACAAGGTTTCTTATGGTAGGCTGGTCCAGAAGCATTAGTCAAATGGGATCCACGATAAGTTAGTAGTTGGATACGAAATTGGCTTGCTCATAGAAGACAGGATGTTGTGGAGGGGTGTTTTTCTGATTGGAAGGCTGTGATTTGCGCTGATTCGCAAGAATCAGTGCTGGGACTCTGTTTGTAATATACATATAAATGATTTGGATGAAAATGTAGGTGGTCTGATTAGTAAGGTTGAAGACAACACGAAAATTGGTAGATTTGTGGAAGGTGAGGAATGTTATCAAAAGGTACAGCATGATATTGATCAGTTGGAAAGTTGGGTGGAGACATTGCGTGTGGAGTTTAATCTGGACAAATGTAAGATGATGCATTTGGGAGGTCAGATGCAAGAGGAATGCGTACAGTAAATGTCAGGACTTCAGGAGCATAGATACACAGAGAAATATTGGGGTGCAAGTGGATAGCTCCCTGAAAGTGACAACACAAGTGAATGAGGTGGTAAAAAGGCTTGTGGCATGCTTGCATTCATTGGTTAGGAGTATTGAGTTTAAAAGTTGGCAAGTTATGTTGCAGCTGCAGAGTTTAGTTAGGCCACATTTGGAGTATTGTGTTCAGTTCTGGTTGCTATTCTATAGGAAGGATATGGAAGTTTTAGAGAGGGTGCAAAAGAGGTTTACCAAGAAGGGTCCTGACCCGAAACGTCAACTTTCCTGCTCCTCTGATGCTGCCTGGCCTGCTGTGTTCCTCCAGCTCCACACTGCGTTATCCCTTACCAGGATGTTGCCTGGATTGGAATGTATTAGCTATAACGAAAGGTTGGACAAACTTGGATTGATGTTCTCGTGAAAACAGAGACTGAGGAGCAACCTGATATAAGTAAATAAAATTATGAAAGGCATGGATAGGGTGGATGATTGGAGCATAAATGCCAAATATCAGGGGCATAGGTCTAAGGTGAAAGGGGGAAAGTTTAAAGGAGATATGCGAGGCAAGATTTTTAACAGAGGATGGTAGGTGTTGCCAAAGGAGGTGGTAGAAGCGGATACAATGGCGACATTTAGACAGGCACATGAACAGGCAGAGAATAGAGGAATATGGACCATGTGCAGGCAGATGGGATTAGTTTAGAATTACACATTGGTCAGTGCAGACATGGTGGGCCACAGGACCTGTTCCTGTGTTGTATCTTCTATGCCCTTAGCGGGCAGCCTGTTTTACAACAGCCTGTTCCCTCATCATAGTGAATTCTCCACCCCCTTCACCCACTGCAGGTATCTTGTCCCTCACTGCCTTCCCCACTTTCACCACACCTGCCCCTAACAAGCATCATTTCCTTGCATCTGTTCCTACCATTCATGAGCCTACCTCTAGCAAGCTCAGGACAAACGCAGGCTGTCATTGGAAGGGTAGCTCCTCATAAATTTAGTTCCTTCCACATATGGTGGTGTCCTCCTTGTTTCGTTGTCCCTGTGAATGAATTTTCCAAAGCTTTTTGCAGACTGTCGTCTGGTGTCCTATGTGTTAAGAACAGTCGCTAAGTTAACTAAAATTTACCTTTATAGATAAAACCAGGCATGAAGGTCTTGACTTTGGAAGAACACAGTAATCAAGAGGTGAACCAGCACCGGCCAATACTGCTAATTAATGTGAAAAAAGCAGATGGGTGAGTTATGTTTCATTTAAGTACTCCCAATTAAATTTGACAGGATCAATATTTTGAGTCTTAAAGGGAGTCACTTAGAAACCAAGATGGTTGAGCTAAATTTTCCAAATTTAAGCATTCAAAAGAGATAAGACAACAGCCCATGGTGTTAGGGGCAAGATATTGGCATGGATAGAGGATTGGTTGACTGGCAGAAAGCAGAGAGTAGGGATAAAGGGGTCTTTTCCAGAATGGTAGCTGGTAAGTAATGGAGTTCCACAGGGATCTGTGTTTGGACCCAACTATTCACATTATACATTAACAATCTGGACAAAGGAACTTTTAAGGTGAGGGAGGGAGATACAAAAGCATCGAGGGGCAAATTTTTCACACAGAGGGTGATGAGTGTCTGGAACAGTCTGGTGGAAGCAAGTACAATTTTGTCATTTAAGAAACATTTAGACAGGTACATGGATGGAATAGGTATGGAGAGATATGGACCAATGCGGGCAAATGGGACTCATTTAATTGTGAAAACTGGGTGTCATAGGCAAGTTGGACCAAAGGGCCTGTTTCCATGCTGTAGACCTCTTTGACTCTGACTGTAACTGAGCGCATTGTTACTAATTTAGCAGAAGACAAATAGATAGGCGGGGGGGGGTTGGGATGCTGCAGATAGGTTGAGGAAGCAGGTAGGCTGCGGAAGGACTTGGACAGGCAAGGAGAGTGGGCAAAGAAGTGGCAGGTAGAACACAATGTGGGAAAATGTGAGGTTATGCACTTTGGAAGGAAGAATGGAGGGGTAGATTATGTTCTAAATGGGGAAGGGCTTCAGAAATCTGAAACACAAGGGACTTTGAGTCCTAGTTCATGACTCTCTTAAGGTTAGCATGCAAGTTCAGTCAGCAGTTAAGAAGGCAAATGCAATGTTTACTTTCATTTCAAGAGAGCTATAATATAAGAGCAGGGATGTATTGCTGGGGCTTTATAAGGATCTGGTCAAACCCCATTTGGAGTATTGTGAGCAGTTTTAGAAGGAAGGATGTGCTGGTGTTTATAGGAGGTTTACATGAATCATCCTGGGGATAAAGGGTTTGTCATTTGAGGAGCAGTTGAACACTCTGGGTCTATACTCAATAGAGTTTAGAATTAGAAAGATGAGGGGGGATTTGATTGCAACTTACAGAATACTGAGAAGCCTGGATAGAGCAGACCTGGAGAAGAATGTTTCCACCATTAAGAGATACAAAGATCCAGGGTCACTGCCTCAGAGTGCAGGGCCAACCCTTTAGAACCGAAATGAAGAAGAATTTCTTCAGCCAGACAGTGGTTAGCCTGTGGAACCCATTGCAGGAGAGGGCTGTGTAGGCCAAGACATTGAGTATGTTTAAGACAGAGAGATTCTTGATTGGTAAGGGTTACATGGAGAAGACTGGAGAACAAGGTTGATTGAATGGCAAGGAAGACTTGATGGCTGATTGGCCCAATTTTGCTCCTCAAGTCTTATGGCCTTATAATTGCTGAAGAGTGGTCAGTTAGTATGGAAATCCAACTGTCTCACTCCATCCTCTCCCATATACAATATAAAGCATTACTGCAGTCATGTGAACAAGAATTTCATTCATAGTTTCCAGTTGTGAATTTACCAGGTATAATGACAGTCTAAAGACTTGATTTTAGATCTTAGATCAATGTGTCCCAGTAAGAAAGGAGCAAAGTGGACAATTAATCTGATAGTTGCTTGCTTTTGGTTGCTTTTTTAAATTTGTTCATTGGATGTGGACACCATTGGCTAGGGCAGTGTTTACTGACTATCCATGACTGCACCAGAGAAGGTGGTGGTGGTGAGACATATTCTTGAGCTACTGCAGTTCTGAGGGTGTAGGGACACCACAATGGTATTTGGATTTTTATCTAGTATCAATGAAGGAACAATGATACAGTTCCAAGTGAGAATAGTGTGTGGGTTGGGGGGGTGGTATTTGCAGGTGGTGTTATTCCCTTGAATCCACTGCCCTTTTCCTTCAGGTTGGCAAAGGTCATGTGTTTGGAAAGTTTTCCACAGGAGCCTTGGTGAGTTACTGCAGTGCATCATATAGATGGCACATACTACTTCCATTGTCCACGGTAGTGAAGAGTGTGTATATTGAAGTGCCATTCAACAATCTGCTTTGTCCTTGGTAATGTCAAGACGTTTGGATGTTGTTGGAGCTGCATCCATCCAGTCAAGTGGCGAGTAATCCATCACAATTCTGGTATCTGAAGAAGGGTCCTGACCCGAAACGTCAACTTTTCTGCTCCTCTCATGCTGCCTGGCCTGCTGTGTTCCTCCAGCTCCACACTGTGTTATCTCTGACTCCAGCATTGGCAATTCTTACTATCTGAGTTCTGATATCTGCCTTGCAGATGGTGGACAGTCATTGGAGAGACAGGAGGTCAGTCACTCACCATTGAATTCCTAGTCTCTGACCCGCTCTTGTATTGACAGCTTTTGATCCAATTACATTTCAGGTCCACGATTAACCCTCCAGGATGTTGATAGTGAGTGATTCAGCAATGGTATTGCATTGTCTGGCATGAGCATTACTTTCTTTTTCATTCATGGGATTAGGGCGTCGCTGGCTAGGCAAGCATTTATGGTCCATTCCTAGTTGCGCAGAGGGCAGCTATGAGTCAACCACATTGCTGTGGGTCTGGAGTTACATGTAAGCCAGACCATGTAAGGAAGAAAGTTTCCGTCCCTAAAGGACATTAGTGAACCAGATGGGTTTTTCCGACAATTGGCAATGGATTCACAGTCATCACTAGACTCTTAATTCCAGATATTTATTGAATTCAAATTCCACCATCCGCCATAGCGGGATTTGAATCCAGGTCCCCAGAACATTACCTGGGTCTCTGGATTAACAGTCCAGCATTAATACCACTCGGCCATTTATAATACCACTTCTAATAGCTGTCCAGGACTTGCTGCATATAGACAGTGATTGCTTCAGAATCTGAGGCATCACAAATGGTTGTGCAATCATCAGCAAACATCCCTACTTCTGACCTTATGATGGAAAGAAGGTCATTGATGATGCAGCTGAATATGGTTGGCCCTAGGATACTATCTTGAGTATCTGCAGTGATGTTGTGGAGCTGAGACGATTGACCTCCAACAATCACAACCATCCTCCTTTGTGGTAGGTATCACTCCAAGTATTGGAGAGATTTCAAGCAGATTCCCAGTGACTGCAGTTCTGCTCGGGTTCCTTTATGCCATACTCAGGCAGAAGTAGCCTTGATGTTAATGGCATTCACATTCACTTCGCCCCAAGTGGTGGTGTTGATGTTTGGACCAAGGCTGCAATGATGTCCGGAGCCAAGTAGCCCTGGTGAAACCCAAATTGGCCATCAGTAATCAGGTTAATTCTTTGCAATTGTCAGTTTGTCAATAACCGAGATAGACTGATAAAACGTTAATTGGCTGAGTTGGAATTATCCTGCTTTTGTGGACTGGACGTTGTCGGATGGATGCCAGTGTTTGGCGGCTTTACTGAAGTAGCTTATCTAGGGATGTGGCTAGTTCCAGAGCATCAGTCTTCAGATCTATTGCGAGACTGTGCCAGGACCCCTAGCTTTTGCAGCATTTAATACCTTCAATTATTTTTTCATATCACATGGAGTGAATTGAATTTGTTGAAGACTGATATCTAGCAGAACTCCAGAAGAAGCCAAGATCGATCATCCACTTGATAAATCTGGCTGAAGATGGATGCAGATATTCCATCTTGTCTGATACACTGATGTACTGGGCTTCCTCATTTTTGAGGATGGGGATATATGTGAAGCTTGCACCTCTTTTAAGTTGTTTCATTTTTCCATTGCCATGATGACTGGATATTGCAGGATTGCAGAGCTTAGATTTGATCGACTGACTATGAAATCACTTAACCCTGTCGCATGCTGCTTCCACTGGCATACAAATAGTCTGGTGTTGTAGCTTCACCAAGTTAATTGCTCATCTTTAGGTATACCTGCTGCTGCTCCTGACATGCCCTCCTCCACTCTGTTGAACCAGGATTGATCTCCTGGCTTGATTAAGGTTGGAATGAGGGAATATAACAGGTATTTGGTTATAGATTATATTTGAATTTACATTTCTGCTGTTGCTGATAGTTCACAACAGCTGAGGGAATGGCAAGGTTGGAGTTGCTGGATCTGTTTTAAATTGTTCCATTTTGCATGGTGATAGTGGCACACAGCAGGATGAGGGTAGCATAAGTGTGAAGATAGGAATTTGTTCCCAATGTGCTTCGCTGTTCTGCATTTTAAGTCTTTTGAATAGGTTTAGCCATTCTTATTTCTGACGTATGTATATCTCAGAGTTGTGGTTCTTAAAGACTTTATTGGGAGGGGAGAGATAATAATGTAAAGGACCTACTACAAAAATATGAGAATTTTAAAATTGAGGCATTACTTGACAGGGTGCCAATATATGTAATTAAACACAGGGATGATGGATAAACAGAAACTGGCAGATGTGGAAACTAACACGCTGTTTTGCAATTATCTTTCCAATGGCCAGTGTCTGTTTGACAAGGCTAGATCCTTGTGGCATATCAGAGGTAATGGAGCATGAAGTGAAGCTATTGCAAGTGATATTCTGTCTAAAATTACTGGTAAGAATAAAACCTGTAAGATAGTTAGACTCAGCTGGGAAACAGTGAATATACATCTGTGGAAAAAAATGTTGTTAGTCATGTGGAAAACCACAGACAGGAGGATGAGGAGGCAAAATCACATAGACATTTGAGAGTTTTGTAAGGAAAGATTCAGTACTGTTGCAAAGAGCCAAAGATTTAAAAGGTGACACAATGAATAAAAGGAGGTTGGAGTTGGAGTGATGCCTTGTGAAAATGCTGGAGTTAAGGTTTGGAAAGTGGGAAGCCCAGAGGTAGCTGATTAAATAATTTCAATCATTGTGTCAAACATGTCCATGAACTCCGAAGGTGAGGATGGAGGAGACTAGGGGAGAGGTATTTAAGAAGATGGTTTGCAGTAAAGACAAGAAACCAGGAGTTTCTTTGCTTTCCAAGAAGATCCTTGAGTAGGAGCTATTTTAACGGGTGAGACTGTGATTCAATAATGATATATAGGGTGCAGTGAGATCTAATGCAGCATGACACACTATTCTGTTCAAGATGATCACTTCCTTTCAAGTTTACAACCTCTGGGCTTGAGGGAGTAGAGATGAGAGCTATACTTAGAGAAATGGCCAGAATGAGAGTATTGATATTATTGTGGCCTAGAGCAAAGGTGAAGGTTAATTTATCAATAAGCTGCAAAAATGATGTAGAGAGCCAAAGGCTAAACAAATGGGACTTGAAATTGCAAGGAATGTGACTTGCAGGGGTTGTAGCTTTCTAGAAACAAACTCAAAAGGAGGAAGGTTTGGGACATGGAAGACAGACGTAGTTGGCGATTGATACAAGGAAGTGATCAGTAGTGGCCTTAACTGTGATGATCCAACGGGAGGACTGAATGCAGATGAGATTGCACGTAAAAGGAGGTGCCTGTGAATATGAGTTGGGGAGTTTATGTGGAAGGAGAGGTTAGGAAGGATAAGAGACCAGTGAACTCAGTGAATAGAGAGCACAATGAGTTGAAATGAAGGTCGAGAAGTCAGTTGGCGCAAAGGTTGTGGGAAGAAAAAAGCAAAGATATTTTGGTGAGAAAACATTGATTGTGTTTGGGTTGGCAATAAAGACCAGATATTGTAAATAAGGGGGTTGAGTAGTTGAGCAAGGTGAGGCGCTCAAAGGAGGGGGAATTGACAGAAGAGTAGGAGACCAGGTGAAGATGTGATTTGTTATTAACAGTCATATTCCCACAATAATGGCTTTGACGGGGCAAGTGATGGAAGATATAGCTAAGATAGTTATGGTTTATGGAAACTTTTTAATCATCTTACTTAACACGATATGTTCTAGTGCTCTTCAATGGCAAATCCAAGAAGAGAAGCAATCCCTCTTTAAAAGAAGCACTCCTGTTTTTAATTAGGCCTCAAGTGTTGTGTGAGAAATTGAATAGAATGTGGTTGGGCTACAAAATTTCTGATTCGATCAGAATTCCAGTCTGTCAAAAGAAAACAAGGCTTGAGTATCAACATCTCCCAGGTTTCAAGGCGCCAACATCATGGGGTTTTCCATCTTGTTCTGCCCACTCCATTCGTGACTTGAGTTAAGCCAGCTAGTAAGTGTCTCCAGATCAAAACCCTTCCTGGTGCAACATGACAATTTACAGGTTAGTTCTGATCTATTAAAAACTTGCATCATTAAGGTGGCTTTTAGGTTTGAGGAGAACTGAAACAAAAAGTGAGCCAAAATTGTGGACCTGATGTTTCAGCAGAATTGCTGGTTTGCTGCTAGCTATGGTCTCTAGTAATTACTCTGTCAAAGCATTTGACACCTTTCCATGACCACCAAATTTATCTTCTGATTGCCTACACTATTTCGTGACACAAAGAGGGAATCAACAACAAAAAAATAGCAGTTGGTCTCAAAACAGGTAGTGCTGCAGAAACTCAGCAGGCCTGGAAGTACATTTAAGAGTTAGAAGGTGTCTGTCCCAGGAACCCACAGAGAGCTCAAAATATTAAAAGTATCTTCAAATGTCCAATCCTCTTATGCCTCCCAATCTGTCATCCTGGAGCATTCATTCAATCCTGGTGTTTCAATTTCCATGTTTTAGATGCCAACATAATTCAGTGTAACGTCACTTTGAGGATCAGACTGATTTTGAGAAAAATGGCTGGTTCCATCATTTAGCACAATGCTCATTGGTGCTCTGCTAAGAGTGGAGGCGGTGAAGCCAGCACCAAGGAGACTGCTGAGCCCTAAGCCAAAATCATGACACTGTGTTGGCAATAACAAATTTACAGGCTGCCCATCACCAGTTGATTTGGAACTTTATGGTATTGGAGCTTTGTGAATTGTGATTCTTGCACCAAAAAGCTGAAAGACTTTTTTTAGCCTGAAATCGGAAATGAAAACATTTTTGATTGCCAGAAAATTTGTAGAATATAAGATTTTGTCCCATGTCTTAAATAGCTTTCCTGAAAATTCTAACAATTTTGGAACATAGTATTGTTACAAGTGGTAGATTAATTTTCTCTTCCTCCCTTGGAAATGAAAAGTACTGAATTCAATGTCTTATTTTGTAGACACCAGATGGCAGGATTGCCTATAGAAGAAAAACTCACTGAGGCTCCGTTAGCTGTCAGTAGTCGTTTCCCTTCTAGCAAAGCAAACAGCAAAGATAAACCATCCAGGTCTGACTAGCTTCTTTTCATGTTACTTTTCTACAAATTTTAAAATAATTATCTTCAGGTGAGTGGTTGAGAGACTATAACTTTATCAAAATTTTGGTGGTGATAACCTGAGTATCTAACATCTCAATTCTGAAGCAAAAATCTCTTTCTCTGAGTTATGTTCCCCATTTTTTGACTTTGTTTACTTTATTCATATGATGGTAATTTTAGAATCAAAATATTATAAATACTTCAAGTTCAGTGAAGTAAAAGCAGAAATTGCTCGAAGTACTTAACACGTCTGGTAGCATATTTGGGGAGAGAAATCTGGGTTGAAATAACTCCTTCAAAACTGAAGAGGGTAGAGAAGTGATAGGATTCGTGGCATTAAAAGGAGGAAGGAATATCAGAGGGAAGGTTTAGGATGGAGACTAGAGGATAGGAGATTAATTGGCAAAGATGTCATAGAATAAAAAATAAAGGGAATAAGGTTTGTAGTAAAGACGCAAAGCATTATCCAGAATGAGTGCCCCAGAATAGTGAACAGCTCTGTCAGAAAACAAATACATGAAAACCAAAATTCAAACCAGCACATGGTGAAAATGCAGAATCATAGTGGGGAACAGAATTCATGTTCAGAAATTGTTGAGCTAAGTATCGAGTTCAGAAGTATATAAAATGACTAATCGGAGGATGAGATGCTGTTCGTTGCATCATGTGGAGCTTCACTGAAACACTACAACAGGCTGAGGGCGGTAGTGTGTGCATGAGAGCATCCTTTCAATATGAAGACTGGTGTGGCAGAAAGTGAGGACAAGGAAACACTATTGGAAAGGAGGAAAGGGTGTGAGAGTGCGGGAGTACGTTCAGACATATTTGCGGGCCCTGTCTATCACAGACTGGGAGTGCTTGGTTCAACCAGAAATGTGCCAGAACAGATGTAATGGAGAAACCAGGAGTGTGGAATGGAGCCTCTACAGGAAGCAGTAGGTAAAAAAAAGTGTCAGCAAGATAGTTGTGGGTTTGGTAGGCTTATAATAAATATTACTAGCCAGTCTATCCTCTGAAGTGGAGAGAGATTGAGGAAAGGAAGAGGAGTGTTGGAAATGGACCATGTGAAGGTGAGAGAAAGGTAGTATTATGAACCAGCTGTTGTTGTTGCTGGACAAGTCAGATCACTGATTGAAATTTGGCTTGATAGATCATATTTTTGATTTTTTGTGGGTTTTAGTAACGTGGTCTTTTGCTGAAATACAAGCACACAATGCTTCAAATTTAGCTTTAACAATAATAGAAATTTACTATGCAAAAGAAATTAAAATACAATAGAATAAGTCAAATGATTTATATATAACATAAGTTTAAAGATTTTTTGAAACACACAGTAAATTACAATGCCATTAATCTTAACAGCACCCTTTTATAGTACTCACAACAGACAGAATTCCCTTCTCTATCACATCTGTTGGGTTTAACTTAACAGATGCTTTAGTTCCCTGTCTTTAGCATTTTTCTTGAGTCTTCTTACATTGTGGTTAGACTTCCTCAGCTTCAAATAATCCCTTCAAAATATTAACCAAATACTTTTGATCTGAAATTTTCAAACTCAGTTCATTACACTGAAGTAACTCATTTCTTCCTTCATCAGGAGAAACTGTTTTAAATATCCAGTTTCAACCATGATTTCAGCATACTGAAAACTATAAGTTTTTTTTCAAGAAGTTCATTTTTCTCCAAGTCAAAATAAACATTCCTGCCTCCAACTGTAGCCTAATGCACAACTGTTTGTGTTTGTTTGTAAAACTCACTCCATGAAAACAAACCCCATTACTCTGTAAGAAGTCTCTCTTTTTATCATACCATGTTTTCAAAGAAATCACCGTGGCTATAGAAATAGCACAGACATTTATACATAAGCTGAGAATCACATAAAAGCTATTGTCACCTGTGCCACCAAAGTGCCCTCAGTAAGTTTTATTCATCCACTGCCTCCCACCATATCTATATGTACTCTCTTGTTCTGCAGGGTGGAGAGAATGTGCTTGGCAATGGAGCATGTTGTCCTTGGACCTTTGGTGGAGTAACTCTGGTTGCTTGTGGCTATAAGTGCCAGACAGGCTGAGGGTATCCTTGCTGGAGGCAAGTTGAATCCCATTACCTCTCGGGCTGAATTTGAAACTGTCGGTGGCGGGGTTTGGGGCAAGATTCAAGTAAATGGCCAATCACATCTGCAGCGTCCTGAGAGGAAACTGCCAAAGAACCTGTGTGTGCTTCATCTGCCAGATGGGTGCCTTCTGGCAATCTGCGAGGAAGGAGCACCTGAACTGAGATTAAGGCTCTCTGCACCCCTGTCATTATGCCTTCGGTCTTGATGACCATTAGATAGGTAAATAGATTGCAGTTTTGTGCATGTCTCCTGCAGCCCCAAAGGCTTTCCATGGTAGCCACCAAGCTGGCCATGGAGGAAGCCAGAGGGTTGCATGATGTGCTAGTGATGCAGCTTCTGAGTGCCCTTGCATCCAACATACCTATCTGCCACACCCGTTCCTTCCTGTGCATTTGGATGAAGTCCATGATTGCTGACACCACTGGTTTCTGTACTGTCTGGGCTGACCTTGTGTGTGATCTCTGGCAGCCCTCTGAGCGCCAGTGACTGAGGGCATTTCTTCCTCGGCCAACCCCAGAGCTATCACAATGAGGTGATCTCCAGCTTAATGCCTCTACACCTAACATTCCCACCAAGGTTTCAGTAGCTGATTTGGTGGGTGTGCAAGCCTCACTGATGCTTTGAGGTCTCAGCACTGTCATCCTAAGAGATCAAGGATGTGGCTTCTGCAGGAATCAGATGATTCTCTGTAGATGTCATGCACAGGCTGCTGTACCTGCAAGACATATGGAAAGAAGGCATCGTAGCCAGTGGTTAGTAGTGTGCAAATGAATGAGAGTAACTGCATGATTAATTTTGAGAGTAGCAGTGACATGCAGTGTGGTACTTGTTTGTTGGGACATAGATATCCCTGCATCCCACAGCAGCAGTCCCAGACTTCTCTGATAAGGCCAAGGATTCTCTCCTCACAGGGTCTAAGGATCCAGGTGTCAAGCACCCCACCTCACCTTGTACAGTCTTGCACTGCACTTTTATGGATATCTTCTCCCATAATGACTGAAAGTGAGGGGGAATGGTGTATGAGAGATAACATTGGATGGCCTGGCTGTTCGTGGTGGTGCATGAGGGAGAAAAGTGGTTAAGAGGCAGTGCAGAAGGCATGCACAGCTCGTGGGGGAGGGGAAGGAGAGCGAGTGAGGGAAGATGTTGCATATGTAACACCTCACTGATAGTATGTCGAGAATCAAGCCCGGCTATTGCTGGAGGCTTTACAAAGTTAAAGATTTTAAAAAGTACTTAGAAGCTCCCAATTTAATCATCTTTTAGACCAAGGTTGACAGGAAGCATGAACTAGGTTTCTGTACTTAGCCAGAATTGTTACTCATTACAAATATTCAAAAAGGGAGCAAAGGATAAAGCAGGAAACAATAGGCTGTTCATTCTAACTTTGGTGGTGGGGAGACTAATGGAATCTGAGGGACAGAACTAATCTTTATTTGGAGAGGCAGGGATTAATCAAGAACAGATAACATGGTCTTGTTAAGGGATTGTCGTATCTGACCAACTTGATTGAATTTTTTGAAGATGTTACCAGGTGTGTAGATGAGAACAATGCTTTTGATGTAGTCTATCTGGACTTCAGCAAGGCTTTTGGAGGGTCCCACATGGGAGACCAGTAGCAAAAGTATGTCACTCCCTTCTTCCGGTGGCAATGGTGTCAAGGCAGCTACTTCTGTTATGTCCATTTCTGATTCAGAGAACTCGTTAATGTTTGACAGAGAGGGTGAATCCACAGGTTCCAGCAGCCTTTCTGAATTTTCTGAGGGGCAGGGCACATTTTACTGCTGCACCATTTGAGAAATCATGGCTTTGATATGGTCCACATGCTTATTCAGGACCGTGACACCTATGTGAACTTTATCTGTCACTGGTCCTGAACTCGCGTCGAATATGCCTCCTACCCATGCAGGGCCATGTGATCCTTACGCCAAACTTTGTCCCCTGTATCAAAGTGTCTGTCTCAGTTGGGAGAGTCTTATGTCCAGCATTGGCATTCCTGATGCCATTTCACCGCCACCACCCCCCTCCCCACCCTCCCCCGCCATGTCTGGGAAGATCAGACTTGACCTGTGCAGTCTTCTACCCATTAGTAACTCAGCCAGTGCTATCCCTGCAGTTGCATGTGGGGTGGCCCTATAATCAAATAAGAATTGTGAAGCTTTGTATCTAGCGAGGCTGCAGGTTGTTTCTTCAAGCTAGTCTTCAAAGTTTGGACTGCTCCTTCTGCCAGACAATTGCCAAATCCTGTTTGACGTTAAGAAATAACGAAATTCCCTGCTGGTAAATGATGGCCCATTATCTGTGACCAACACTTTCAGGACTCCGTGTGTTGACAAGATGTGCACAGATTTTCTATTGTCGTCCCAGTGTTTGATGAATGGACGCTATGCACATCTAATCCCTTAAGTGGGCACCTACAATGACTAAGAACATTGAACCCATGAAAGGATCTGTGCAGTCAACGTGCAACTGAGTCCAAGGTTTGCCAGGTCATTACCACGGATGTGGGAGAGCTGCTGGTGGTAACTTTTGCCCTTATTTATACTCTGGGCACTGCTCCACCAATACAGCTAGTTCTGTATCCAAGCCTGGCCACCAGACACAACATCTCACCAATATCTTCATTTGGGACACCCTTGGATGGCCCTAGTGGAGTTGAGCCAGTATTTACTGGCAACCTTTGCTCCGGACAATCAATGTTGTTTCCCATAACAATATGCTGTTCTGGACCATAAGCTGGTTTATCTGGGTCTAAAAAGGTTTCAGTTCTAGTTACGACAGCCCTCTGTCTTCCCCCATTAATACCAGTTATTTTAGTTTTGAAAGGAATGAATTTTTCTGCATCCAAAGTCTG